ACCCCTGCTGAGTCACCGAGTCATGACTCGATTCCGGCTGTATGTGGGCGGGCAGGCGGTGAAGTAACCCGTCACCCACCCGGCCGGCCGGGCCCACGTGAGCGGGGGTGCGGTGATCATATGTAGGGGCGGAGGACGGTCGGGTCAATGAAAGATGATTGTTCGTAGGTCACTGGTGATGATTTAATGATAGTCGGGCTTCATTTAATGGGTTTGAAAGGTCACTGATGGGGCTGTGATCATTGGTGACTGGCAAGGTTACTGTTGATGATCCGTGTCTTTGGTGACATTCACCGTTTGTGTGTCATGACATGGTTGGGAGTTGGGACATGTATTTAAATAGTGGTTGTCAGTGTCACTGCACTGGTAACAACCCGCTGATCGATCACTGATCACTGGTGATGATAAGGAATGGATTACTGGAGATTGTTAGGACACTGATGATATTCTTAGATACGGCTGATGATGGTCAGGCCCTTGATGATAATTGCTTTCGTGGTGATCTATATTATGATTTATAAGTTGTCCGTGCGTGCGTGCGTGCGTGCGTGATCCATCATGACTTATGTGTCTTATTGCGCCTGAAAGGCGCCGCGTATCGGCGTGAAATTTGGCATGCCGAATCGGTGGGTTGATGTGACCTCTGTATTAAAATTTGGGACGGATTGGCCCAGGGGTGCGCCGTCAGCACGCGCTCGCGTGCGCCATAGGGTTAACACGGGAAACGGTCAAAACGAACATCGTACGAAAACCGGCCTGCGGCGCCTGCTTCCCGGCTGTATAAGTCGGCAACGGGTGGGCGCAGCGAGAAGCGGTTTTCACCACTGGATAGAGGAGAGATGGAACTAGCGTATTGACATGGTTTCATAGTATAGCACGCGCCACGTGCAAGACAGGACCGCCGGTTGTGAAAAAATGACCGATTTCGTGCATTGTGGGAAGAAAACCGATGCCGCTGGAAAACAGCTTGACGGAATGAAATCGATGTGGTACCATTTTGCAGACAAATGTATGTGTAATCAGATAATAGCAAACAAAAACTGATGCTCCGTACCATTTACTTAAAAATGAAAAATTAATTTGAAATTTTTATTCGCGCGGAGCGCGATGTCCTTTACAACATCAAAACGTATTGAAAATGCTGATAAATCGCAATGAAACCTACATATTCGGAAAGAGCATTCTTTTTTGACCAATATCCACCCAAAATATTATCGAAAAGTCAATAAACTTTTGTGAAAATGACTCAAGCATACGGCCGTGTTTCGTTAACGTTACAGGTATTTTTCGTCAAAATCCGATCGATGGCTTATGGCCGGCAGGCCATTCAAATTTTGACAATAGCTATCAAAGCATGGGCTTCAATGCACCGCCCGCCAAGGGGAATTAGAAAACACTGAAAATAAGCGCCTACCAGTAAACAGCACATTATTGTACTAGGAATAACTCGGCTACTACTGGGCCGATTAAGCTGAAACTTGGACTGTGGGCGGAGGGGGCACTCACCTGGCGATTAATGGTCATTTGTGACAGGTAGGGTGGACCGACTGCACGTGCGCACGTGAGGGGTCCGCTTCTACATCTCAAGAACGGCTGGGCCGATTTCGCTCAAATTCTGTACACTGTTAGGGACAATTTAGAAAGGTGGCTGGCACAAGTCATCTGGAGTCTCAGTTCGCGCGTGCGCACGTGCAGTGGGCCGCTTTTATATCTCAAGAACGACTGGGCCGATTGCGCTCAGATTTGGTACATCGCTTCGATTGAGGGTGAGGAGGTTATGAGTAGGGTAAGGTACGCTATGTGGTGAAGGGTAAGGTATGAGTAGGATAGAATGTGGGTAGTGTATGGGCAGGGCATGGTACGGTATTGGCAGGGTGGGTTATGGGCAGGGCAGGGTATGAGTATGGGCAGGGTAGAGAAGTTTGGGGTAGGGTAGAGTTGAGTGCAATAAGGGCCCAACTCACGAAAGGCTCTAACAACTCGTAACCAGCACCGAGACACCATACCGTTCAATTAAAACCAAACCTCAAACTTCACCTAGCTCATACAAATAAAAATGTAACCTCATGCACCCAAACTAATGGCCCCATCAACAACATCTATCGAATCTATACAGTTATCGCGCAAACATGGCCATCTAGTAATTATAATTTATGAGCAACTGATGACGGTCTTGGTCTCAGTCTTGTCAAAGTCAGATTCGTTTGTGTCAGCTGGCGGCATTTGCAGTCATCAGTGTGCGGGTCAAAGAACGACGAGGAAGAAAAGAACAAGGCGTGGGGGAAGCGCAATGTTACAATTACACTTACAATGTATTACGCAGAGAAAGGTGAGATATACATAAAGAGAGAAAGAGAGATAAAAATAGATCATTTATCCCACTAATGAAGGCCATTACCTAACATTAAAGTCAATTTACTTGCCCACTCTTCATTCGTGAGCACGGAAATATATGATTTTACACTGCAGATTATCTTTATAATAGCGTCATTACACAACTAGTTGCTAATGGCACGGCGGTGACTACGAGGCTCACCAGCCGTCCCTCGGAATACAGGAGTTCCTACCAACCAACCCTCGTGATTACGATGCAGGAGTTCCCCTGCGAGGCCGATCTCGGGCATGTAGGAATGATGGCACGTGCAGGAATCCCGCCCCACCGCCGGCACCGGAGAACCGAGACGGGCCGTCACGCAGTGACCGGCACCGCTGTCTCCAGCAGTGCTGAGGAGTCCATAGCAGAGGAACGGTTGAATGTCGGTCACAGAGCCCCGTTTTTATCAGCTTTCGGAAGTTGTTTGTGAGTTTTAGCACTCTAGTTTTGATCTCTTTCATCACCTTATTTATTTGAAATTTTGTGTTTTGCATTTACCTAAGTATTTTTAGCTTTATATTTCAGGTGCTCAGTATTGAGCATTTTTATGTGTCATTCATTCAAGTAAGTAGCAAACTGTTCCTTCAACTTCTTCTTCCCAGTAGCTGCATGGAACCACAGGTCTCCGTCACTGGGTCTGGCCCAGGCCTCGGCCGAGCTCCAGCCGTCAATAAGCAGCCATCGCCGTCACCTCGAATTGATCTGCATCATCTCTCACAATGGAGATAAGTCACGGTTCGTTTGGAGCTGACTGACTGGATTGAGCGCTGGCCAGCGGACGTCTGCAGACCAAACAGCCATTGAGTTCGACCATTGCGGCTCCGTGCAGACGGAACTCGGGGCCGCAGCCAATCGGCAGTCGTGCCTGTTGAGCCGACTGGTGGGTTGAGCCATTCTTCGCTTGTCCTCGAAAAGGAGGCTAAGGGAAGACGCAGAGGATAAGCATGCAGCGTTTGAATTTGAGGTAGCACTTCCACTAATGACTTCCATATTTGCTCTTCATTTCTGTATGCGTTTTATGTATAACCACGAACAATTGACGCACTGTATTATAAGAGCCGGGTTAGAAGGGGCATGAAACGTCCTCGCATGAGGCGAATTGGTTTATTGGGTTGGTTAAACGGAGATGACGATTGAAAGAATGCATTTTAAGAATACTGAGCGATGGACAATGCAGATGAATGTAAAAAAAACGAATGGTTTCGTAGATGGTGTAGAAAGTACACGTAGGCACTGGCAGATCAGCTGCAGTCTCGCGATACCGAACTGTTTCGATGTCAAGTTCCGTCCGCCGTGGCAAAACAACAGTGTGCCTGGGCGTCGGTGGAGTCGTGCACTGGCGCCTTGAACAGTACGCGATCCTCAACTTCGTTGGTGACAGTGAAACAGGAGAAATGTTACAAATTTCACTTATCCCGGTGACATAAATACCATCTTGAGATGCTTAAAGACTATAAAATCGGGAACGATTCTTCGAAGGTAATAGCGACTGACTATGAATGGCATGATGCTATGATAAATATTCCTATCCCTTGTCAGTTCAGTCATCCGTCGTCAATCATCATGCGTTGACACGGTTCCCTACTCCATTCTCGCTATTCCACGTCTCGGACGCGCTATCACCCCTCACTCCCCTGTAAGCTGATATCGCTGAGGTCATCTGTCACCGATACCGACCGGACGGGGAGTAGACCGCAGGGAGCCGCCGCGCACCGCATACCCGACACCCAGAGCACGTGCCCCGCAGCCACCCCATCACGTGCCCTGACACACTCAGTGTGACGTCACATGTGACGTAATACTGGTGATGTCATCCACTGGAAATCGAGAGGTTTCGACTACCAGTATTGCCCTGCTGATGGAATGAACTAGGTGATGTTTCCTTTGTGCTATGCCAGCTCACATTATTGGAGCGCGAGGCTTCAGTCACCAGTTCAAGTTTGGTCAGTAGAAGGACAGCCCACTGATTAGTTGATGTTGTGTTGGTCGGGTGGCGTGTTTTGCGTGTGTTGCCCGGCAGATTGGAAGGCACCTGTCTCGGCTGACCCCGCCCTGACGCGGCCGTAGTATCGCGTGTGACACTGATGGTAGGTCAGCGGCTGTTTGGCCGCGGGGTAGGCCGGCGGGCCTCTACGGAATTGTGTACGGGTGTCTACTGTAGTAGCAGCTGTACTGGGTAAAGACGGTCCCAGGACGGTCACGGCACATACAAACAGACAGACACGTACACACATACTACACAAACAAACATAAGCAGTGCACACTCCTCGGGCTCACACACATACGGGCAGCAGGGTATGGATTCGCACACAGTCTTCAGAGGAAGTTTTAGTTCCCCGTATCGTGATTCAGAGCCGGCTCACGAGTCACGGCCACGTTTATCATAGCAGCGCGGCGTGGTGTAAGAACATGCCGCAGGAGCGCTGCGTGTTATAAACACCGTGATAAAGCACCGTGAACTGTAAACATTGACGGCATTCCAAGCTGCTGCCAAAAACACCAGACCAACTGTGCGCAGTCTGATATTGAGGACGCAATGCTCCACTTCTTCGGGTATTTAATGTGCTATGCTCATCACAGGTAGCTTTCTTGCAAGCTATGTTAAATTACTATCAAAAGACCAGTGTGTCACGAAAAGCGTCATTCATGCGCGATGTATTGTCTGCCCACTGGCCGATGAGAGGTCAAGCACATAACAAACAGTCTACCTCGCGGCATTCTCCGGCAACAAACAAACAAACAAACAAGGTCAGAAGGTCAAGGTCACTCGTACATCTGCTCAACACATGTTATCACAAACTCTGGCACCGTGCCACTCTCTGTCAGTCAGTAAAGTTTAAAAGCGTTGGGGTTCGCGCTCGGCGGAGCCTTCACGCACCAAAGCTACAAGCATGCAGCCACCCTTTCAAGCAACTGGCAGAATGCAAAGATTAACATTGAACATGTAATATAAAACACTTTTTGCAACCGACTCCACTATGCTGATAAAAAGCAACATGTAAATAATACGGAGTTTGAACATCAAAGTGTCCAAGCAATAGCGATACGACAGACTTTTCGAATTCATCGGAACGATGAACCGCACTAGAGCTACAGCTTAGTCACAGGTATGGAAGCATTGCATTTTCACACTATTGGCACGAGCGTCATTCACGAGCGTCACTCGAAGGGAGGACTGTCTCAGGACAGCCTCCCTAAAGCTGCACTGAACCATCACATTGAGGAGCCCAAGAAGGCTCCGCTGTTCCGCCAGTTCGACAGTCGAATGCCTCAGAGGGAGATCAGGACTGCCTCAGCGGAGCTCCGATCCGGCTGCCTCAGAGGCGTTTCGACTTCCCCAGAGGCAGCCTCGACTGACCCAGAAGGGTCCCGGCTGTCCTTGCCCGCCAAACTGGCTAGCTGAAGGAACTAAAGATCTTCACGTGGCTCTCCAAGAGTTGCGTTTCGTAACACGTAAAATTCTGAAATGATGTCAGCATTACGTCAAATGCCGTTTTGACATTTATTTATACTTATTTCGACACGACTAGCCTTTAATTATTCCATCAGCATTACGATATGCTTTCTTCACAACTATGCTTTTCAAAGAAATGACGTTGTTCTTGCAAAGCATTTACGGTAACGGGTAAGGTAACTAATCACTATATGATTACAAACAATATTTCACTACCGCGCAGAATGGTCTTTTTATGAACGAAGCGTAGATGAATTTCAATCCGGTCAAAAGTCAAGGACATCTATCCTCCCCTCTCACCATTAGTGGTCTGACACCGTGTGCCCAGCCGGTCGGGACCGCAGAGACAGTGACCTTCGACCGGGTCACAGTTCACACCGGCCGGACAGCGGCAGCGGCGTGCACAGCCGGGCCCGTACCGTCCTGCCGGACAGGACAACTCGCACCCGGGCCCGGCGCGGCCGGCCGGACACGGGTACCGGCCGGACACGGGGTCACAGGGTGTCCGGACACAGGCCGACCGGCAGTCCTGGCCGTACTGACCTGTGGTGGACAGGGACAGGGTGAACGGGCGGTCAACCCGACTGGGTTCAATGCGCTATGGTGTTCTGTTTTGTAACAAATATGCTGCTATGTTTATGCAATATATAATTATCAAGGTCCGATTATTTTGCATAAATGACTGAAACAATGTAAAATATGTATAGTCAATGCCGAGATAAAACACTTGCTTCGTCGATCGAGCTCGCCGGCATGCCATCCTCCACTCAATATGCGCTCATGAGAGGTGTGAGTTGTGACCTTGCATTATGACGTGACCCTGCACACCTGACCCTGCACCCACCCTGAGGGCAGACGTGTTGGCAGAGCTGGCCCATGTAGCCGGGCGGACAGAGACAGGCCCCACTGACGGCGTCGCACCGACCGCCGTTGTAACATAGGCACACCTGTGGCGCAGGTCACAACACAGGTCAGTCTGGTAACACATACACACCTTTATCCTGAGACAGTTACACAGTGCCAGTGGGGTTACACACTATACAGACATACCTTCGAGAGCACGGTTCAACGTCAACATGTATAATTTCGTAACCTCATGTCGGACAGTGGCATACACGTGAGGAAACATCGCAGCATGGTGCCTCTCGAATACCTACCCCCCCCCCCCCAGCCCCAGGGTCTGCTAACTGCTTTTCGTCCGAACGCTGGGGCATCAGTATGTCGGTTACAATAGTGGAACAGTAGACGCTAAACGTGTTGTTATGACCAACAAACGACTGGTGAATCAGCGATGCATCACAGCGCTCGCTGGCCTCGGCCTGCTCCAATTATCTGGGCCCAAACTAAAGGAGTCACATCAGGAGTCACGTACTCAGCAGTCAGCGAATTAATTTAGTGTTTAGTAGCGTACGATGTCTGCAGTCTGCACCTTAGCCCAGGTTCCACCGAAGAGAATAGCTAAAAAAAAGTACAAGAACTTCGACATGGAACTTGCATGAACGCTTAGGAGTCTTGGCGCCTATGACGTCACTCCCTTACCTCGGCGCAGTGCCGGCCGTGGTAGCCCTCGGGGCATTTGGAGGCGCACACCCGGCCGAAGAAGCCGGCTGCACACGAACAGGTACCGGTCACGTGGTCCAGCGCGCCCCCGTTCCGACAGCGGCCCCGGTACCGGCAGTTGGGGCCGAAACGGTTCCGGCGGCACGGCCTCCGACATCTACCGGCGGAGAGAGAAACTAGTCAGGCGGAGCATGCGGCCTTGTCGGCGAGGTTGTCAGTTGTTCGTGAAGAGTTTAAACGTGACCTTATTTCACTGGCTATACCTAATGCAGTTATTCTCTTCACTTCTCGTTTAAAATGAATATGTGCAGCATATTAAGAACAAATTCACGAATTGGCAAATACAAGTAGCAATGTCGACGACGTGATCGTCGAGCATGATTACCTCCTGCCCCGGAATCCCGGCGGGCAGACACAGCGACCCTCTTCGTTGCACTCCCCGCCCGGGCACCGGCACCGTTTTCCTGGAGCAAGAGATAAAATGGGTAATTAAAGAATGAAAGTCTAATGTGACGTGCTACAATGAATGTTCGTTCACAATTACAAATCCGTTTAAAAACAAAGACAAAACAAAATTCAAACCGAATCCTTTCGGCATTTTTATCATTATGGACGTAAAGGAAAAGCAGGTACAGCTGACTCACTTCTTTTGGGTCTCTTCGACTGTTCGATTCCATTGCCGAGTGAGTTATCCTCATTGTTTCCTGTGTCTGTTGATTTTACGCATTCTCCCGATGTATGATGACACTTTCCACTGGGGCAGTTGGAGCAGCGTTCGGCACAGCCAGCGCCGAACGTGCCGGCGGGGCACAGTTCCCGGCACTTTTCTCCAGAATGGCCCGGTCTACAGATGCACTGGCCGGTCTAGGGGGAGAGATCGGCAAACGAACGTCAGTCAAGAAGGCATGTGAAGAGGCTACGTGATACCCACAGCAGCAGTTTTCGAAATTTATGCTTTTAATGTGTATGGTGTAGGTACTAAGTCGTTTTATTACGAATAGACGAGTGTGAGTTATCTGCTTAGAGAGAAAAAATGTTGAAACTCGTTAAAGCAAATCGAATCCAATGGACCGCAATATAATCAATCCAATGGCTCGCTTACCTCTGCGTCACAGCGGATGGTGTGCGGCCGGTGGCAGTCGCACTTGCTCTGACAGTTGACACCAAAGGTGCCCCAGGGACACGTCTCGGCGCACTGGGGTCCGAAGTAGCCCGGTGGGCACTCACAGTATCCAGAATACCGGTTACACCTTGTGGACAGACGCACAAACGCACGTTACGCGAGCGCCAGGCGTGGTATCGCATATCGTGCCCTGCGGTACAGCATACCCACAGGCGCCGACCGCTAGTGCCATCTATGGAGCGAATTGTAAACGAGCAGCGATTCGTGTATGGCGGTACAGTCTACATTCAGGCGTTCACTGCCGGCGCCGCCCAGAAAGAAGCATTGCCGTCGGCAAATGCCAAATGGTGATGGGTGTTCGCTGTTCGTTCAGTATTCAGCTTATTATTAACACCGGCTGATGCATATCGTACACACCAACACTGCAGCATTTGTGTGAACGAGGTTAAAGCTTCCGACACCAACCTGTTTCTTGGACAGCCGACTGGACACCGTTTTTCACAGTTCTGGCCAAAACGGCCGGCAGGACAGCCCTCCTCGCATCTCTTGCCACTGACTCCTGGCGGGCAGCTACAGTGACCTGTGGCAGGTCAGAGGTCAGGTCAGATCACAGACGGCAGGACAGCCCTCCTGGCATCTCTTGCCACTGACTCCTGGTGGGCAGCTACAGTGACCTGTGGCGGGTCAGAGGTCCGGCCAGGTCACAGACGGCAGGACAGCCCTCCTCGCATCTCTCGCCACTGACTCCTGGCGGGCAGCTACAGTGACCTGTGGCGGGTCAGAGGTCCGGCCAGGTCACAGACGGCGGGACAGCTCTGCTCGCATCTCTTGCCACTGACTCCTGGTGGGCAGCTACAGTGACCTGTCATATTTAAGGTCAAGTCAGGCTGCATACAATGCATCGTGAATTTACAGCGATGATTAAAAAAATAAACCTTAAACAATTGAGCAGATTTGTATAAGAGTTGATATTTATGAAGCAACCGAATGCTTTAAATATTGGCAATGTGTTCTGCTTCAGCAGGCAAGAACTATCGGAAAGTATAAGAGCGCGGCTAATGTCGTTTAAATCAGTAACAGGCAGGGATGCGGAGCCGTGGAAATTTCAGACGGCTCCGGCTCCGGCTCCGGCTCCGGAGGAAAAAATCGACTCCGGCTCCGGCTCCGGCTCCGGGTGAAATGTTGTGGCGGCTCCGGCTCCGGCTCCGGCTCCGAGTAAAATGGTCCGGCTCCGGCGGCTCCGGCTCCGGCGGCTCCGGCTCCGACTCAGTACATCCCCTATGCAATCAATTAAATACGAGTGGAAGAAAAATTGGATTGGTTATACGCGTTACTCTTTGCCATGACCGGCTCACCGCGTCCCCGCGCAAACGCACCTCGGAGAGAACTGGCAGAACAAAGGACTAGGAAGCGATGGCATTGGAAACGCAGTCGCCGCGAATTGGAGTTCACTGAACCATCGTAAACTGACACCAGTCTCGGCTGCATTGGGGGGTGGGAGTGGGGGGGGGGGGGGAGGGGAAGAGACGGTGCTGGGAGTCGCAGTCCACTGCCACTGGCTTGAAAACAATGGCCGTCACCTGATGACCGGTCCTCATGTTCTGGGGATGCAGTAGACGTGGGGGGGGGGGGGGGGGGGGGAGGAGCAGACAAGAAGTTGATTGCGTAGGTACTGTGGGATACTGGGGATATTCGGCTTTTTTTCATTCACTTGATGGCCCATGACGTAAGTAAAGTACCATATGTTTTACTGCCTTGTACTGTCAAACCGAACTAGGTCAATTATTTTTTTTCCTCTTCAGAAAATAAAAAGGAGCCGGAGTCGCCCCCTTTTTTGGCGGCTCCGGCTCCGGCTCCGGCTCCGGGCTATATTGTTTCACGGCTCCGGCTCCGGCTCCGGCTCCGGGCAAAATATGTCGGCTCCGGCGGCTCCGGCTCCGACTCCGGCTCCGGCTCCGCATCCCTGGTAACAGGTGTACCGAGACCCAGCACCGGTGTCGATCCCAAATTGCTTCTTACCGGTGACATGATGGCAGGTGCCTCCGTTCTGGCACAGACAGAGCTGGTTACATCCCTCCCCGAAGGTGCCCAACGGACAGTGTTCCCGGCACTGGTGGCCGGTATAGCCCAGCGGGCAGTCGCCTGGTGGCAGACAGAGGAACTGGTGGTTATACCTGGGTGTCGCAATGAACGCAGAGGCCGTCGCCAGGTCCACAAAGGGCCCACACCATTTCAACAGAGTAAAATGTTACCTCCTATCTATACACGTTAAGGCACTCTAAAAAACACGCTGTGAGCATTACCTGAGAGATAAAACAGAATGTTTGTTGTAGGAAGACGAAATCGCCATACCTTGCCGGTGATTGTCGAGCGCTCGGAGTCTTGTGTCGGATGCTGTCGGTCCATCGCCCTGCCAGCTGGCCACAACTAACAAAAGAAGAAACAGACGCTGCTAAAATAAAACTAACAACGGTAGAAACGAACACAGCACCTTCCCAATTCCTCTAATAAAGCCTCTCTGCCTTGCCCTCTCACCAAGCTCCTCCCGACGAGCGAGCTATATCCACCGATCCAGTCCTACTCACATTACCCAGCCCGGGCGATTAGTCAGGCCTCGGGCGTTTGTGTAATTGTATGCACCCTATGCACTCCAGCAGCATCGCGCTCTGCTGTCTCGTCCAGCATTACCAAAGAGCTGTCCCACACCATGGAGCATCCCCCAGTCGGGTGGCATGACGTCATCTCAGTGGAAGATGTCGCGGCGGTATTAACATTCGGCGAACTCCGTTTGTGAGGCGGCTGATCCGCCGTTCGCCTGCAGTCCCATGTAATCCGCCCAGGCAGGCCGCCCACCGTGGCGGGCGAAATGCGGATCGTGACGGGATGCTACTGGCGTAGGGCACGGCACTGATAACTTCTCCGTGATACTCTCACGATGTTTGTACCGGGAACGTCTTACACTCGCAAGAGCGGGAATTTCAGAGTTGTCTATATCCCTTTTACTGGAGTATTATAAGTGTCATGAGTGTCTGCCACTCTTGTAAGCAGGAGTGTTGGGATCATCTGACACTTACCTACTGAAACAGAAGTGCGTGTCGTGTCACATGCTGTAGCAGGAGTGTCATGAGTGTCTGTCACTCCTGTTGTCAGGAGTGCCGGGATCATCTATCACTCACTGGAGCAGGAGTGCTGGTCGACCTCCAGCTGGTACCCCTCGCGACACGAGCAGCGGTAAGATCCGGCCGTGTTGGAACAGTCGTGCTCACAGCCGCCGTTCTGAACAGAACACTCGTCCATGTCTGGGGAGAGAACGGACAACGGTCGCACGGGCAGACGGGCAGCCATCACGTGGGGAAGACGGGGAGCCATCACATGGCATGCACATTGCACGGTCAACGGTGCATGACATGCTGGCAATAGTGATCGCAAGGGCACCGTTTGCTGTGGTGACCGTATGAAAAAATTAAAGTTTCTATATCTTGTTATAAATCTTGACGGAACTGCTGCAGCAATCATTTTTCGAATCAATTTTTTAATGGTTTAGCGAACCCTTTGATGTGAGTACCGCGGAGTTCACAAAGTTTGTAAGGTTTTTCGTGGTGACGGTGACTTTTCTCCGTATTACCAGCTATTATGTTCTGGCATATATCCGTATAAAGTGGTAGTAATATACGGTAAAAAGACAATTCACCATTACTGTCCAGTGTTCGTAACTTCAAACCCGCTAATCTGTTTCAAAAAGTACCGCCGGACACCACCAATGAAAGTATCCCGTTCCGCTTCAGCAAAATGTGTCATAAATTACAGTATGGACGGACGGTGTTGACCGCATCATGACGGTTATGTCGGTCGCACTGGGATTAGACTCCGGTCGGTCCGTCAGATCTCACCGAAGACTCCGACCTTGGTAGGCATCGCACTCTGTCCCGGTGGTGTACGGGAGTGACTGGAAGTCATTAGCTCTGCCCATCTCGCGTGAGTCTTACCCTGACGTATAGATCTGTCATCATGTCACACCTAACTGACTGCAGCGTTAGTCTTATTCCCTCATCCTGACAACCGTCACCTTGGCACCCAAACAATTTTTGTTTTGTTGGGTTAGGCCCTTTCGGTCGACAAGACCATTGCAGAGCCGGAAGGATGATAGGAATTAGGGGGAGACATTGGTCTGGGCAGGCACCCTAGTGAGTCGCCGGGGCTGAGCCCGTCCAGAGGACAGGCCACCCAGCCCCAAGGCACTCACTGCACCCGGCTACGGGGTGCGCTCCCTCGGGAGCAGCGGTGCCGCTCCAAGGGAGCAGCCCGCATGAGATAAAGTTGCCTGTCCAGCCCGGAGGGGGGTTGCGGCGTGGAGGAGAAGGATTTCAGTATCCTGAGGATAGAAGCACGGAACGGTGACCCAAACAATCGTCCTGTTTACTTTTTACCTACCTCCTATTTTCACCCTGATAGTTGTCCGTCCTAGCAACCTCACTCTGACGGCACAGTTTCGTCCTGTTTTACTCAATGCTCATGCCTGGCACCAGTATCCTGTCCAAATAACTCAGCGGTGTCCGTCCTGTCAAACTCACCCCGACAGCACTAACTCCCCTTCATACTCACCCTGACAGCGGTATCCGTCCTGTCAAACTCACCCTGACAGCGCTGTCCGTCCAGCAGCAGGTAGCCGACCCTGCAGGAGCACCGGTAGCTGCCCGGGATGTTGTCACACTGGTGCTGACATCTATGGGCGCCCCCGGAACACTCATCTTCGTCCTGCCGCCGCCCGAAACAGATTTATGACGTCACTGGATGTTTATGCAAGTCTGAGATAGAAAAGAATGTGGTATGAAATAACGAGGATGAAAAGCTTTAAAGCACTTGTGTTTTACCTGCGTTGACAGATGAATGTTTCCTCGAATAAATAGGCCGTGGGTCAGGTTGATAGTACCCTCATACATTCCTCAGTTAGCGCGGATATAACTCTGGCGGCCCACAGGTGGAAGGGATCTATGGGGACTGGTGACATGGTGTCGCAGTTAGCGTCACACTGGCGGCGTGGGCCGGGCTGTTTGTCTTCCGAATCCCCCCGCCACCGAGCTATGGCACATCCTTCGCCGCACAAGCGCCGTGCCAAAAGGCAACACTACTGAATTCCCGTCCACTGGAAATTTTACATTTCCCACCGGTTCTGCCAAGAATCTCCGGATGCTGATCGTGAGTCATATGCAGCACAAAAATAGACAATATTATTAAAAGAAAGCACTTGACATGGAGTTACTTCTCAATGAATGAATGAATGACTATCCCTAGTCATATGATTGAGCACCTGTCTTTCACAGAGCTGAATTGACCACCGCTAACCTTTGACCCGTATTGACCCTTTAAGGTTTTCTATGACTTCAGCTAACCTCCACCGGTCTCCCAGAACTTCTTCTGACCCCGAGTCCAACTGACCTGGCAGCTGCGCTGGTCGTCTCCCAGCCGATATCCCGGGTGACACGAGCACTGCACACCCGACTCCGACGCCGTGCACATGTGCTCACAGCCTCCGTTGCCATCGAGGCACTTGTCCACGAGCACTGTGTACACACCTGGCGAACAGGGTGACCGGCCGGTCAGTCACTCCCCTCGGCAGGAGGCGGCGGGGTCAACACAGACGTGACGTCATTGGATCGCAGCCGGGCCGGCCGCCAGCCGGGGGGGGGGGGAGCGGGGCGGGGGAGGTCGCGGTGACGGTCGGGGTCACGGCTGCATCACGCCACGTCATGGGAGTGTCGTGGGTGTGTCACGGTCAATTACGGAGCAGACTGGTGAGTCGACATCAGAGGGAAGGCTGTTGGCAAAGAAGAGGCACTGAACGTGTGGAAGTTCACGACGGGATAGGTCAAGATTAGAGGCACATGTGGTCTGGTATTTTTTTTTTTTTTTGAATGATAAAATAAATAGAGGACGGGAACAGATGAATGAGCAATGGTTAACTCGGCGACACACGTGACCAAAGTGAACATTTTACTGTTGCAATACCATAACCTAACATGAATAATATTCATTCTGTATGATCCTTTGCCTAAGCACGTTTTTCATCGGTAAGGATATATTTGTAGTAGTAACTAAAGGCACCTATGACTCCTTTTTGTTTGTTTTTGTTTTGTTGGGTTAGGCCCTTTCGGTCCAATTAGACCATTTCAGAGCCGGGAGGATGATAGGATATAGTGGGAGACATTGGTCTGGGCAGGCACCCTAGTGAGTCGCCGGAGCTGAGCCCGTCCAGAGGACAGGCCACCCAGCCCCAAGGCACTCACTGCACCCGGCTACGGGGTGCGCTCCCTCGGGAGCAGCGGTGCCGCTCCAAGGGAGCAGCCCGCATGAGATAAAGTTGCCTGTCCAGCCCGGAGGGGGTAGCGGCATGGAGGAGAAGGATTTCAGTATCCTGAGGATGGAAGCACGGAACGGTGACTCCTTTTTCCCCTCGGCCCGTTGAAGTACGTACTGTGGCAGGTCCGGTCGTCTCCGCTGAGACGGTGGTGCGGCCGGCAGTGGCACACATACGACCCCGGTGTGTTGGTACACAGCTGGCTGCAAGGTGACAGCTCACTGCACTCATCAATGTCTGTGGAATACGGCACAGTGGGACCGCCAGAAAATCGAAACAGCGAGAGGGGACGGGCGTTGACGGGGCATTTAATCACTAACAAAGAATAGGCAGGCAAAGGAATGACATAACATTCTTATTAGCGACACAGAAAATCCACAAGCACACAAACAGACAAGCATTACGTCTCGCGGTGGCGCGATTCACTTCGTGTGCGGCCAGTATTGATACATGTGTCATCACCAGGGATGCGGAGCCGTGGAAATTTCAGACGGCTCCGGCTCCGGCTCCGGCTCCGGCGAAAAAAATTGGCTCCGGCTCCGGCTCCGGCTCCGGGTGAAATGTTATGGCGGCTCCGGCTCCGGCTCCGGCTCCGAGTAAAATGGTCCGGCTCCGGCGCCTCCGGCTCCGGGGGCTCCGGCTCCGACTCAGTACATCCCCTATATGCAATCAACTAAATACGGGTGGAAGAAAAATTGGATTGGTTATACGCGTTACTCTTTGCCATGACCGGCTCATGACCGCGTCCCCGCGCAAACGCACCTCGGAGAGAACTGGCAGAACAAAGGACTAGGAAGCGATGGCATTGGAAACGCAGTCGCCGCGAATCGGAGTTCACTGAACCATCGTAAGCTGACACCCGTCTCGGCAGAGACGGTGCTGGGAGTCGCAGTCCACTGCACTGGCTATAAAACAATGGCCGTCACCTGATGACCGGTCCTCATGTTCTGGGGATGCAGTAGACGTGGGGGGGGGGGAGGAGCAGACAAGAAGTTGATTGCGTACTGTGGGATACTCGGGATATTCGGCTTTTTCATTCACTTGATGGCCCATGACGTAAGTACATACCATATGTTTCACTGCCTTGTACTGTCAAACCGAACTAGGTCAATTATTTTTTTCCTCTTCAAAAAATAAAAAGGAGCCGGAGTCACCCCCTTTTTTGGCGGCTCCGGCTCCGGCTCCGGCTCCGATCTATATTGTTTCACGGCTCCGGCTCCGGCTCCGGCTCCGGGCAAAATATGCCGGCTCCGGCGGCTCCGGCTCCGACTCCGGCTCCGGCTCCGCATCCCTGGTCATCACCCATCGATGACAGCATCACAGACATTCTATCCCTCGCATGACATCACGACATCGACAATACATCGAGCATGGACCGGATGCATTCCGTCCGTCCCCTGCGACCGCAACTAAAGGCTGGTTTACCTCCCCCCCCCCCACCGGTTCAGCACACAAACCACGATAAATCAGCCCAGAGTGACCGCCCAGGAGGCTGACCGGCCCTGTCCGGCGTCCATCCGGGCGGGATGGGCCGTCAGAGGGATGCAAATGCAGCCGTGCAGTTTACAGCCTGTATATCACGGTCGGCCGCTCCACCAAATGGCCGTGATATGTCCGGGAGAGGGCAGTATGGGCTGGGTGTTGTTATACAGCCTCAGATTTGGACTAATGAACCGATCAATTTGCATCAAAATAGGGTTGCCATCAGCTGTCATGACTTTTATTATGTCGTGCTACAACTCAATCTTCTAATAATGGTTGTTTAGAGGCGATTTAATTGACGTCTTTGTGAAGTTGATTCATATGAGCGGCCCTCAAATATGGCACAGCCAACCATTATCGTAATAACTCCACTGAGATGTGGACGTGGTAACGCCTTCAGCGAAAGGATTCATGACAGGACTGTAATAGCATCATAAGTAGCACCTCACTCCCAGCACGGTCTGCAGTCTATTCCTCAGACAGGGTCGGTGTTACGGCCCGCCGAGGGATCCTCACCTTCACAAGAAGCTCCGTCGGCGCCCAGTCGGTAGCCGCCGTGACACGAGCAGCTGACCCGACCTGACCTCAGGTCACACACGTGCTGACAGCCACCGTTGTTCCGGGTGCACGCGTTGAGCTCGCACGACCGGCCGTCAGCGCCCAGGGAGAAGCTGTGTGAAGGTCACAGGTTATTGGCGTTATAGTGGGGAAGAGAATGTCCGACAGGTCAGTGGTCATTTCCGGGTCTACATTGATATCCGCCCATGTCACAGTGACCCCGAGTGGGAGGGAATATGTCCCTGTTGCGGTCAAAGGTCAATAGGTCACCGTCGACTTGCTGAGACTACAGAGCTGTGAGGTTGTGCAACACCATCACCAACGTGAGACAGCATTTCATGGACGGAACCGGCTGAAATTATCATTCAGTCTGTGTAATGAATGTATCAGACCTTGCAGTTCGCATACTGGCAGGCAAGTGATTCATTTATTGCGCCAGCTCTGTCAGAGATGTTTTTGCACCCCCATAAACCGTGGTATGAGATACAGGTGTACCTCCTTTGCATCAAATATTTCGCTTAGAAATAGTGATGTTCGTCGTTTCGGCCACAGCAATCACGATAGCGGCTCAGAACTCAATAAATGCGAGCTTCGTTCCCTATCTCCACTCACCACAACGTCGCTACGGAAAGGAAGTCGGCTTAGCTTGGATATCATTAGGTACCGGTTAAGTATGTTTCTAGCCCACAAACAATGCTACGAAATCTGCATTTTATGGCAAGACTGAAATTCCTCATCGTCGTTATGAAAGTATGATAATAATACATATGCCTAGGGATCTGATAAAAGAAAACGATTGATATATGAAAAGGAGATAATGTTATCATGATGAGTGGAATGTGGAATGTGGAATGGAATTAAAGTTATCTATATTACTATTTGAGGAGGGCGTAGTTTCTGTCTATTACGAAGGTCGCGACATGGTGCTACGTAGCGCGGGTTACAGATCACACCGTTGCACCTACCGCGCTGAAATTTGCGCAAGTTATAGAACAAGGATGGACAACGTGCCTTTGAGCGGTCTCGGCTCGATCGGATCGATAGCGAGCGCTGGCGCGTGCCCAAAAAGTGCAAATTCGCGTCATAGACTTTACATGTATAAATCGGCTGGCAAAAACGGGCGAAAATGGCTAAATTTGCCCGACACGGGTCCGTTCCCCGTGCAATATCTCGGTAGCCGTGCGCCCGATCGGCACGGGGAAAACAGCATCGTGTAGAGAATCGAACGGGCAATCGAATAGTGTGCGGTGCAGGGGTGGCACGCGCCACGTGCAAGTGTGAGGGCAATTTCATTTCAAAAAGTGCCATTTTAAACGGATTTTGGAATTTATATTAATTTCAGGTGATCGTCAGACGGAATGAGTTGAAACAGCGCCTATTAGCAATAAAAATGTACCGTCTCTCATGGAAAAATTGTGAAAAGCTAATTGATCAAAAACAATGTGGAAAAAATCGCTGAATTAAAATGGTATTTGTCCATAATGTGCCACTAAAAAGATACACGGGATATGCTGCTTAACCTGATACGCTTGACAATTGAAAATGCTATCATTAGAAAGAGCATTCAATTCTCTCCAAGATCCAATCATCACGTTTGCATGACAAGCAACAGTGTTCTTTAAAATATAAATGTTTTAAACCTCTGCAAAACGATTTTTAGCGAAAATTATCTACGCCTTTCATTTGTCTTAAAACTACGCACCTCAATTATAAAGCACATTTGACAGATTCTGAAGTGGAAAGCATGCTTATCAGACACGGGCACCTCGATGCGGTGGATATTTTTTCCACAAACCAAAACGTTTAGCCGTCAAAAAGCAATCGACCGAAATGGATAGATAACCCAACCGACACAAGAACAACCGAACACCCGCCGATCGAAAATATCCCTTTTCGCGTTGCGGAGCACGCGGGTCACCCTAGTATTAGCCGTTTTCACGACGGCCATCTGGTACACATTTGGTGCACATCTGGTACAGATTAGGTGCAGATTTGGTCAAATCAGGTTCAGTGTGTCTCTTAGCAGCTATCAGCTAGGGTTGCACTATTTGCTTATATGCCTGCTTTGTCATATTATCAGAGAGCATCATCGATTAAAACACTGAAATAAATTCCTAAAATGAAGATACTTGCTGTAAAAGAAATTGGGTGCAGATTTGGTCAAATCAGGTGCATTTGCCGGATAGCCCATCGTGAAACCGGCTAATATAACCAAATCAGAATTACATCCTCCTGAGATAAACTTCGGTTATTTGGACGACGCCAGTTCGCAAAGCGCGCCCCGGCATGGGGCCGATTGGCGACTGCTCGCTGTCAATATTTACCTCTGTCGCGGCTGATAGCACATCGCATTATAGTGGGCCAGGCCAGCGGGAGCGGTGTTTGATCAGTGCAGGATGCAGGTGGGCCATGTCTTACACGAGATGACAGTGGCAGCGCGCCTGTCTGTCCCGGAATGACAGTTATAGAACGTCTATCTATAAAACATCGAATGACAGAGCGCCCATCCGCTGTGTCTTGGCGCCTGACCGCTATCCCTTTTCTTACTCGGGATGATAAAGGTAGAAATTCAATATTACCTGCTATACCAGTGGCTGAAAGCCCATCTAGCCCTGTATTATGACAATGACAGTCGCGGTGTCTTACCCTGTATTATGACAGTAACAGCCGCGGTGTCTGACCCGGGATGACAGTGGCAGCACGCCCATGTGACCCTGTATTATGACAGTGACAGCCGCGTTATCTTACCCTGTATCATGACAGTGACAGCCGCGGTGTCTTACCCGGGATGACAGTGACAGCCGTGTTGTCTTACCCGGGATGACAGTGACAGCGCGCCCGGCCGTCGAGCTCCTCACAGGTGTGGCTGCAGCCGCCATTGTTGTTTGTACATGGGCCGACGGCTGGAATGTTGACACGTCATAAGGTCAGCAAACAGGCTAACTCATGTAAAATTAAATATAGCACCCGGACATTGAATGATTTCAGCATCACAGCAACGAATAATCACGGAAAATCTAGGGCTCCACAGACAACAAAAATCGACAATTGCCGCTACCATGTATGTGGGTCTGTGGACATTCTTCGCTATCTGCGATAGGTGCCTATACATAAGGATCTTAGCAAGCAATTGACGTTTATAATGAGGTGCGTTCAGTAAAGGGTGTTTAAAGTCCGTTTAAAGTCAAGTCCGTTTAAAGCGTAGTTAAGCCTCAGAAGATATCGTAATTATCTTGAATATTCCCACATGTTGTATAAAACGTTGTAAGCTGGTGTAAAAATAACGTTTTATACATTAAATACGTCTCAGCTGAACAACAACATTTACAACTATTCCCAAATGTGTCTATGTTTATTTATTTTTAGTGGTGGATCAGGTACTCTGTCATAGCTAAGTGAAAAATCTGATTTGTGATTTGAGTGAAAGATCTGATAAAATATTTATTTATCTATTTATTAACCGAACAAAATACTGCAAGCACCCAACAACTCCTGAAGTAGCTTATTGCGGTATCTCTCCATACCTTGCAATAAAACTACAGACAATGCAGCTGTGTTGGGACGATGCTTGTTTATGATACTGCCCTGTCAGATACGTGATATGACAATAAACAGGCGCCCTATGGACACGTGTATTTCGTCTGTCGGGGCCTCAGGGAGGCGTTATCTCCCATCCAAGAGCCGGCGTCGGTATTTGAACACGCTGCGGATGACTTTATCAAACAGTCGACAGCTGGAGCAGCCTTGGAGAGCCGGGAGTCTTCGGGACTGAGCTGCGAGTTGCGACCATCGACGCCGGTAAACCATAGCATGGGGCTGAGAGCTGACACCATAAATGACCGCGCGCAACAGTATCTCTGAGAGACCACCGTCCACGGTCGAAGTCTGACTTCGCTGCGCTCCTCATAGTGCACCCGCCCCCCTCCCCTCCCAGTCCCTAGCTCAGAATGAGAGGCATAGGATCACGGGGCGTGACTTGCGAGCTGACTCCGACACTATGTCAGCGGGCAAACGATCCAATGAAGCGGCAATGGCCACCATTAGCAGTTGGCCTGTTGGCAGTCGGCGGCCGGCGGCTTGCTGTCGCTGTTGGACGCCGCCCCAATCGTGGCCCGCGGCGCCCCAATCGTGGCCCGCGGCACCCCAATCATGACCCGCAGAGCGCCAATCAGGAGTGTCGGCGCCACCCCAGTTTGACAGACAGAGGGTGGACGCACTGTGTACGTTCGGCCCTCCGTTTGGGGGGATGGACTGTCTTGAACGGCTCACCACGCCCCGACAGCACATACTCTGCCGAGGAGCAGTTCGTTAGGCCCATTCAGATGCTCGGGGTGTGGAACCGGCCAACCGGAGTGTGACGCCATGCCAGAGACGCTTGTTTGGTGAGGATCAACAGACCAGAGTGGTTTAGAGCGGTTTCAATGGTTGGTGTGACTGGACCGACTGGGCTTTCTGTCGGATGTAGGGAGTGTATTTGGAACAACAACACACGTGTATCATCAAGTCCGCTCTCTGGACAAAGGCGTGGCGCTGACGGTTCGTAGCTGTTTTATTTCACCTTTGGTCTGTCATTGATATGACAGACGTCTGGTCGAATGCAATGACCTGTGTCAGGGAGTCAAACTAGATTTTTCACTTAGCTATGACAGAGTACCTGATCCACCACTAAAACTATGAGAGATTCGTGTCTGAAGCTTTTGGTGTGTCGCTAACCTCTGCACACCCCTCAGCCCTGACCACTAACAAACATATGGTTTATTCTGACCCCTGACAGAGCTTCCAGTCGGTTGCGTTGCCTCGCTAACTAGTGTAATGCATTATGGTAATCACTAGACCTCGACTCCGGTCGGCCTTGCTGATCTACATATGATGACGGGTGCGCCGGTCGCCCGACCTACCCTGTGAGGTGCGTCCGTTCCCTGACCTACCCTCGGGCAGATCTGCTGGTCGACCTCGCTGACCTACCTTGACAGGTGAGTCGGTCGCCTCCGAGTCTCATCCCCTCCGGACAGAGACAGAGGAAGGATCCGCGGGTGTTGACGCATGTGTGCGAGCAGCCGCCGTTGTCCGTGCCGCATTCGTCCCAATCTGACAACAGACAGACGCTCTGTAAATTGGACACCTTTCGTCAGTTATTACGGGTTATCAGCACACACAATTGAAAACACGCAGGCAGTAAGAAAATGCCTTTCAATGACATCACTCAAACTGATGCATTCCAATGTCATAAGCATGTCTCCAAATGAATCATTGCAATGACGTTAAAGGGACCCTCCCACCTTAACATTAGATTTGAGTTGAGATAGCCAAAATGGGGTCCCTGGCTCACAATTACCGGTTTCGGCACTCACAACATCGAGAAATGCCTTAAATCGGAAATATTGAATTTCAAAATTGCAGCATTTTGATTCAGAGGGGCTAATGCTTAGGAATACCCCTCTGAATGTGTGACGTCAGCGCAGATATCTAACGATTTTTAAATGTTTGACTAAAACGTTTTGTAGCACGCGGTGGTATATGCTATTTGCGCGCAACATCTGCCGCAAACGCCGCACTTCTAAAATAAAGTCGCTAGAAACAGCGGAGATCCCAAAAAGTAAACAAATGTAAAAGTCTAATATCTTGAAAACCGGTGAATATTTTTCGGTGAAATTTGGTAGATATTCGTTTTCGCTCTTTCTGAACCGAGCGACATCACTTTCATGCCAATTCATTAACTTTTTTGAAGGTGGGAGGGTCCCTTTAAGAATGCTGATTTTTTGTTGATTTATTGACGCATTACTGAAGCTAAGATAATTTTTATTAGGTAGTTGACATTCTGTGATAAGGAGATAAAGTCAAAAACCTTATTTTAATCGCTTATTCTTTGCTTGGCATTCCAGTAAGGGTTCCTCTCCTTCTTTGCGAGACAAATACGGAATGCAGATTTTAGTTTTTCGTCATGTCAGTTAGGTATATCATCGGTGCTGCAGACTGGTATAGGGCTAGAAACACAAACGAATGAGTAACGTAAGACCGCTGATTGTCTGGCATCCTCAGGTGACCTCATGCCTGAAAACTACCACATCAATCAACGGCACACAGTTGCAGCACTGCTAAGCCCGCATTATTTCCCGATAAATTGGTCAGCCCAAGCATATCCAGTTGGGTCGTAAGAACTATCTACAACCGTCATAATCCCCTTCTTCCGGCGATGTTTTGTTTCAAGGGTCACCTCGAAAGACGTGGAAGGACGGCTTTGAGTTCGGTCAGAGAAGGGTGACGTCACGTCATCGCATGCTGCCTTCTCGAGGTTCTCGGCGTGTATCCAACTGCCGAAGAACTGGGGCACCGAGTGCCGGTGCTGGAGAACATAATTTTGTCTCTGAATGAGAAGCATAAGAAGCCGTGCGCCACCCGGACAGCCCTAAACAGACCACAGATCACCGGTAACGACCATAGAATCGTTTGTGGAATGCTATTCGTTATTATCTAGATTTTTAGAGAGAATACATACGATACCGAACGAGAGAAGACGTGTGTGAAGATGTGTGTCGTGTTTTTATGGATTGGCGTGGCGCATCAGTTGCATTGGCTCCATATTTCGCTTATTTTCTAAATTCAAGAGAAAAACTCGAGCCTTCATGGTTGCATGTGGTTTTATCACTGCAGCAGGAACAGTATTCAGCAGTGATTAACAATTCAAGTAGATTGCTTGATGCGCGATTCTAAAAAATAACTGCGCGCTGTTTCGTGTAAAACGTATGAGTTAATCCGCATTGACTTTAATGATTGATGGGCAGCCTGCATACGGGCGACGAATTCTTCCCAACAATGAACTTTTTCCTCATTACGATCACGCTCAACTTATCACGATTGTTGCCTAGACTCGGAAGTCTGGCTTTCATGACTGAGAAAATCGTACAACTCCGTTTACCGATGCCCACGTGCCCTTTGGAATGTGCAGATCCGCAGTGACCGATCAGTTTTGAAGACCTATTCGATCCATCATTTGGCTGACCGGCGACCGTGGCGTGTGGCAGCGGACCGTCACTGCGGGCTGGCCGTGACATGTGACACGTGGCAGCAGCTGACTGTCAGTGACAGTTGCAGCTGACTCTCGAGTTCTCGGTGGCAGCGATAGCCGACTGTCGGTGGCAGTGGTACTGGTGGCTGACTACGACATATGACAGTGGCAGCTGACTGTCGGTGGCAGCGACAGCCGACTGTCGGTGGCAGTGGTGGCTGACTACGACATATGACAGTGGCAGCTGACTGTTAGTGGCAGCAGCAGCTGGCCATGACATGTGAGATGTGACAGTGTTAGCAAGAGCTGACAGCTGACTGTCAATGACAGTGGCAGCAGCAGCTGACCGTGTTTGTGACAGTGGTAGGGGCAATCACCAGCGGCAGCAGTAGCCGCTGTTATCTGTGTTGTTTTCTTCTAAGATAATTCACTTCGCGACGCACATCGCACAATCAGATCAGAGATGCAGATGTATTGCACTGAAATGGTTATCATGGAATGCATCAAAATTACTGGAATATTTAATGATAATAATACGCTGACGACCAAGACGATCCACTACAATTCAGCGATTTTAGTAAATTTCTTATTTCCCTTTTCTAGACGCTTTGTGTACAAACTGAGAAACCATTATAACGATTCGCAAAACCAATCATCATCGGAACTATGTAGTTGCCGTACCGTCTTCACCACGTCTGTTCTATTTTATTGCCGGGCAAAATCCCGCACTTCCGCCATGGGCTGGGGCCGGGGCAGCTGGCCACTCGCCAAAGTGGCCCACCGGCCGCAGTTTTGACGGCGGGTCGTGAATAAACATCCATAGTACGGAAACCGCGTGTCACATATCAATAAACTTCGGCTCCAGGTGAGCTACAGCTCTCATTAGCCGCTGCGAACACAAATAAACTCGACCTAATCACCATCCCTGAAATTCCTATACCTACTGCCGACGCCGGTACAAGTCAATGGTTCAAAGAAATTCGTTTAGGTTAAAAGCATCATGTTTTTGACAATACTCCTGGAAGGGCTCGAAGGATATGGTTTAAAATTACGATTATTACCGTGATGATGTTGTGGGCCCAAAGAAGAATAGATCGCGAGTTATATAGCAAAGCTGAAACTGAGCAAACGTTTCTTTGACCCATGCAACTGCTCTACTAGGTAATGGATGGATCAATGCTTATTGCTTAGATCAGGTCTAATGACCACCTCTAACTACATGGGGTCACATAATGCCGCACAAACGTTGTCGTGGCCATCGCTCAAGAAATAATCCGATTTATTCCCTGAAAATGACTTGAGCCGATCGGCATGTGCGCACATGACTCAAAGAGGTACCGACCCGGACCTCAGGATAGAAATTGAGCTTCACATCGGTACCGAACTCTGTCACAATGAACCAGCGCACGGGAAGCGGGACTCACCCGGTGTCCTCAGGCTAGTAGAGCCAGGTACGGTGCCGAGACTGATCAGCAGGGCTGCCGGCAGCAGCGTCGGCATCCCGCACCTCATGACGCCGTTCGTCTATCTCCGACTCTAACCGAGCCACCGTGCAGTCTCGATTCCCGTCTGTCTCCGTCTGAGCCTCTGCTAATCGTCACTGTCACTTCTCGGTCACCCCAACACGTGTTACAGTTGTCGCGTGTCAGTCTCGACCGGGGACCGCACGAGACGCTGCATGTGCCGACTGACCGCCGCCGGCCACCGCGGCAGACTGGCCGGCTGTGGGGGTCGCCAGGCGGCCAACCCGCTTTTCTAGCGACGATCCGCTGCCGTTCGGGGCGGGGGAGGTCCGCTGTGGGAGGGGGTCACTCCACCCTGACCTGACAGGGGGCGGACTGGCCGGGACAGCGGCGGCGCCGGCAGCAATGTCGCCTATTAGCAGCGCTGTCCGCCAGTGATGTATCGCAGGCGACCTCAGAGGCGGCGCTCGCCGAAGTCGGGGGACCGGGGCAGCCCCCAAGCTCTGGCGAGAGTGGCTGCGGCTCTGCCCAGTTCCCCGATTTGGCTCACATCAGGGCACCACGTCAGCGGATAGAATCTCCGTGAGGGTCCTGGTGTAACCGCTGACCCCGTCACGTGGCAGATCCAGAACGGGGCGTCACAACTGGACCCGCGCACATGGCTCCCAGACGACGGGACGGTCCCGGCCCCCGGGTCCGTGGAACGCTAATGCCTGGTATTGGTGACGTGATAGGATTTTTATCACATCACCTTTGAGAGGCTAAAAAAGTCTAGCATATGCATTAAGCATAGCTCGAAATAGTGGTCTTCATTACCATGAACAATGAACACGGCGCCTAAATGTTCACAACTTATGTGTACATTTTCAATAACCAATTTTACATGTTATAATACTTTTTTTTGGAGATACAATCCAATTTCAAATCTTTTAATACGGGTTAGTGACCTGGTAGACTTACAAAATGCTTCTATCAGGCTATTGCATAATTATTCGAACAAAGCAAGCTAGTACTAGTTGTCAACTCAAAGCTGACAACCATTTTAAGCCTTAGTATAAAGTGAGGAAGGAATGTGCATTCAATAGTATTCGGCAATCCGACTTTTTCAGGAGTAACCGCAATCTTTGCATAAAATAGCATAAATCTCTATTTGGGATTTATTCAGAGAACCTTTACTGTGAAGATAATGATGGACATTTTTTCTATTGAAGACCGCACATGATGATGTGTGAAAGATAGATAACAGTGCCGACAGGATTGGTAAATTGATAAAATACCGATAACCACGGGCAGGGCACATAAGCTGTCTTTATTTGGAGTCACTAATTGAAGATCTTTGGCTATATTTTAGAGTTACTGATTCAAAGCACACACGATAAATTATGCCAACTTAGAGTATCAGCCTCGCTTTAGTGGGAAACCCTGCGAGTTTCCGCAACGGAACGAAGCCGAGCCCTGCTTAGCTAGCTCAGCGCGTCTGTATGCACTTACAACCACTAAGAACCTACTTCAGAAATTATGACGTCATAACATAAATCACTGAAAAATAGGAATCTCATCAACACGCTCTCGTTCAATACACCGAGGTGATCATGAGCTACGCGAGGTCTTGAATAAGT